AAAATCCCAAGCAGGCCTTTCACTGTCAGTGCAGAGCCTGATGTAGGGCTCGAACTCCCAAATCGTGAGATCATGACCTGAGCTGAAGTCACAAACTTAACCAACAGAGCCACTCAGGTGCCCCATCTTGGTATTTTTAAATTTATTCTACATCAGGGGACTAAAGGAAACATGTAGAAGATTGTTAGATGAGCCAAAATAAACTCCCATCTACAAAGAACAGAACAACGGTCACATTGGCCTCCTTTTATTTGTAGATGGAGTTTATTACCAGAGAAGAGTGTCTGTCCAGCCACTTGACTGTTTCACAGACTTGCCCTACATTTGAGACATCCCACGTCAATAGTTGGGATGGATATGCACGTATAAAACTGAGATCTGAGTAATCTCTGGAATGAACGACCTGTCCAGCCTGACTGTGTTACGTGACATGTGGATTTGAGCTAACCAGGAGCTCTTAGTGCAGACATGCCATAGACAGAAAAGGCTTTGCTCAGATGAGTTACAGAAAGAAGAGCACACACATTCTAATGTATTTTGTGTTCCTGTGCATATTTTGCAGGCTTAGAATTTTTAAGCTTCATCTTCTTAATCCAAGCAGAGAAAAATTCTCCACTTTTCACTTGGTCCTAACACTTTCATCTAACTAGTCTTTGTAGAATGCCAATTCTGCCATGTCATCTATCGTGTGTTTTCCCAGGAATCTGAACTTGATAGAACAGTGGGTGTAATTCCTGTCTATAAGATTCCATTAAACCAGTACCCATATTTTATGGCTCCCTTCCCCCTACTCAGAGTTAAGAAAGCATATGTGACACGTGGCAATGGGAGACGGAAGAATGGAGAGTTATTCACCATTGAGATCAGTAAACTTGATTGTGACCTCTGTGGCTCATGAGGCATTAGATTATAAAATTTACAATTTTATTAGTTTAATAAAAATTTAGATAGTTTCTAAACTTAGTCTAACTGCTATAAATGGTTTTATAGCATTGATGCATGCTGACATTTGTGAGGGGTGGGACTTAATTAGTAGGTATTTTGTGGGTTGATGAACTTATGTCCTTAGATAGAAACTCCCAACTCCATTTTTCTCTCTAGGTTATTAAATAAGAGGCCTTTTCTTGGCTATTAAAGTGTGTAACTTGAGACTTCAAAAATGTGATCTTGATTGTGAAGCAAAACTTTCTCATCGTTGTTTCAATATATTTGTGGAGGCAGCATAATAAAATCATTTTAAACATAAAAAAAAAAAAAAAAAAAAAAAAAAAAAAAAAAGAGGTTAGAGTGGGAGAGAGCCAAAGCATAAGAGACTCTTAAAAACTGAGAACAAACTGAGGGCTGATGGGGGGTCGGAGGGAGGGGAGGGTGGGTGATGCGTATTGAAGAGGGCATCTTTTGGGATGAGCACTGGGTGTTGTATGGAAACCAATTTGACAATAAATTTCATATACTAAAAAAAATAAAAAAATAAACATTTTTTATGTTCTATTGTGGTAAAATACATGGAGATAAAGTCTGCCATTTTAACACCTTTTTGAGTGTAGCATTAAGTCCATTCACATTATTGTGCAGACATCACCAGTATCCATTCCCAGAACTTCTCTTTTATCCCAAACTGAACGTCTATATCCATTAAGCAACTATTCCTCTTCCCCTTTTTTTTACTCTAGGCCCTGGTAACCACTATTGCTTTTTTTTTTTTTTAATGTTTATTTTGGAGGAGAGAGAAGGAGAGCGAGCCAGAGCAGGACCTGGGGAGGGGCAGACAGGGGGAGACAGAGAATCTGAAATAGGCTCTAGGCTCTGAGCTGTCAGCATAGAGCCTGATGCAGGGCTCAAACCCATGAACTGTGAGATCATGACCTGAGCTGAAGTTGGATTAACCAATTGAGCCACCCAGGCATCCCTGCAGATAACCACTATTTCTACTTTGTCTCTGATTGTGACTATCCTAGGTACCTCATTTAAATGGCATTACACAATATTTGTCCTTTTGTGCCTGGCTTATTTCACTTAGCATAATGTCCTCAAGATTCATCCATGTTGTAACATGTATTTTTTAGGCTGAATAATACTCAGTTGTGAACATATGCCACATTTTGTTCATCTGTTCACCCGTCATTGGGGCATTTGAGTTTTGACCTTTTGGCTATTGGAAGTGATGCCACTAGGAAAAAATCATTTGCTCAGGTTGTTGCTTTCAGTTCTTTTGAGTATACACCTAGGAGTGGAATTGCTGGATCATATGGTAACTCTGTTTAAGTTTTTGAGGGACTGCTGTGCTGTCTTCCACCACGGCCTCACTGTTTTTTACATCCTTGCCAATAGCTGCTGTTTTCTGTGTTTTTGGATTATAGCCATCTTAATAGGTGTGAAGTGGTATCTCATTGTGGTTTTGATTGCATTTCCCACATGAAGATTGTTTTTTTGCATATTTTGCTTTTGTATTTGAAGGTGTTATTTTTAACTTATGAACCACATATGCGCAGTACAGAAAAATATTCTATAAAAGATGGTCAATGTACTCAACTAAACTTCTTCCAGCTAACACAGGTATTTGAGAGGATTACAGTGCTTTATTCATATCAATTTGTGAAGTCCTTAGAGCAGTGTTAGGCCAATGTGGTTTTAGTCCTTTGCAGTAAATGATTATATGGTCTGGAATAGGATATAGGTAAGTTTGTTGTTAGAAGAATTCCTGTGTCTGCCTTTTACTGTAATTTTGAAAATTGGTGAATGCCATCATGTTAAATGTTTTGGAAATTGGATGTTGACAGAGATCTTTGCTTTCCTTCTCATTAAGTGGTTCTGTAGAGACAAATACTTATTTCTTTGAGTTTCTACAGGAAGACAAACTATAAGGCTGAAGCTTAGCTCCCAGGAGTATCTGATGGGATGCTTTATTCCCAGAAATAGAGCTATAACCTGGCAGCCCAGACCCAGGGTCAGGCCAGCATGCAGGATTAGACAGCAGAACAAAATATTTTCAATTAGGATTCTTGGGAAGCGTAGGGTCTTCTCTTTACTTCATTTCTAAATTTACACAATTTTTATTTACAAATTTTTTTAATGTTTTTATTTATTTTTGAGAGAGAGAGAGAAAGAGAGCGAGCGAGCATGAATGGGGGAGAGGCAGAGAGAGAAGGAGTCACAGAATCTGAAGCAGGCTCCAGGTTCCAAGCTGTCAGCACAGAGCCGACGTGGGGCTTGAACTCATGAGCTGCGAAATCATGACCTGAGCTGAAGTTGGAGGCTCAACCAACTGAGCCACCCACGCGCCCCTACACAATTTTTAAAAATTACCATATATTATTTATTGCAGATTTATAGAATTGTAATTGTCTCTTGAAACTGAGGTGGTTTTGGTGTGAGTAGTACTTTGAGATTCCAAACATGAAAGGGATAAGATGTGAGTTGTGATAAAGAACTGTTAGTAAGGCTGTTTTATTTTTTGGCTTAATCAGTGTGTTGTGATAACAGTATATACGTGCCAGTGCTTTGGTTCTGGAGAGCTGTAAGGTTAGGAGGCCTCTCTGACTCCCAAACAGCCGTTCTCCTTGGAGTAAAACTTCTTCCAGTTCACGGATGACCGTGATGGGCTGAGCAAACTCCGAGCACCCAGTCGCCGTTAGGTGGTTTAAACATTACTAATTTACTACAGTAAACTCACTGTACACATTCTTATTCAGAAAGATTTGGCAGATCTTGATAATAACCTTTTGTAAAACTTTTCCCTACCAGAGCATCTTGTTAGATTATCACTAAAATCAAGCAGTGAATAAAAATTGCTTAGTAATTAATGTAAAAAATACAATTCCTGTATATGTGGAGGGTTAGCATAGAGGAGAGCATCTTTTATATGTGTTCCTTTGATTCTGGTCACTTTGGTTAGAATTGACATCGTTGGGAATTTTGAGTAACAACGTGCAATGTGTCCCAAGAAAACTGGGACAGTAAATAATTGATAGAATATTACTATTAAGTGAAAATAAGTGTTGATGCTTCTCTTTTTCCTTACCGGTGAATACCTTTTACAATTTGTGCCTTTCTGCCTTGACTGTGTAATCACCTATCTGGTCTCTAAAATTGCCGTGAAGATAGTTTCTGTTAAAAGCATAAGACTTGACTCTGGTTTATTTGGACGGAGTTGTCTGTTCTCAGTCTGTGGAGTGGATGAACACGTGCCCCTCTTTCTTCTCTAGAGTGACTCCGCTCACGGTGACTACCCGCAGAGTCATGAGGCCAGCGTGCTGGCACGAGCCCTGATACCTCACGACGGACTTCCTGCGGCGCCGCACAGAGCCCAGCGAGAAGGTAGGTTTTCTGTCCCCTTACCGGGGACGGCTGCAGAGCACTGTTTACGTTGGTTGACCCAACTCTTCTCCCTCTTTTTTTGGAGTAGAGAAATCTACAGGTCCTAGGTTTGGCTCAGACGCCCGGCCCCCACTTTTCTGAGTCTGCATCTGGGCTCCTGCTTTACAGCACTTGGCCTGGCCTGGCTTGTGCCGACCTGGTTCTGCCTTGTGGTCGGTTGCCTTAAGTCTAGTTGCACACTTCTGGAGGGCGGAATCCTTAACGTATTCCTAAAGTGTTTGGGAAAGTGCTTTATCTGGAGAATGTGCTCAGCATCTGCTGAAAAAAGAAATTTTACAGAAGTTCTCTGTTAGAAAGTGAAGCCATGTGTTACAAGTCTGTGCTTCCTGCAGTAATGCAGTTTTCAGGAGGACCGGGATGGTGGCATTGGAAGGACGTTGTCATCTGTAAGGAAATGAGTTCAGATGCTCACTTCTCTTCATTTTTGGGAATCCATTACCCTGGGCGAATAATTGTTGAGGGGAAAACAGAGATGGAAAGTGTGTGTGCCACCTGGGCGGCCTCAGATGTGTACCTCACGCTCAGTTATAGCAGCTTAGAACGATATCATTTTGTCTTCTTCCAGTCCCATCAGTCATCTTTCTTGTGTTATACATTTTTCCTCATTCAGGAAAAACAGGTATGAATGTTTAATGTTTAAAAAAAGTTTATATAATTACCTCTTCAGGGCCATTCAAGACCCTTAAACTACTTGACTCATAGATTCCTTCAACCAGCCCCGCTGCATCTGTGAGTAACCTAAAGCAGAGTTTGCTTTTACAACGAAGGTCTTTTTCTTCTTTTTTTAATAAAAATGTTTTAGAAAAACAAAAGACTACATCCAAATGCTGACAACCGTAAGGTAGTACTATAGGTGACTTTTCTTATGTTCTTTATTTTTAAACAAATGTGTGTACTCTGTGCTTCTTAGTTTTAATTTATGAGGGTTGGAGGGTCTCCTGTTACCAGGCATTCCCCACCGTACTTCATCTCCCTCCTGTTGATTCCGATCGGTCATGACAGGGGTAACTTGAGACCAAGGCCGAAGACCCGGCCACGTTCCCTTACACATAATGCCCTAGTGGTCCCCTGCCCCTTACTTATTAGCCCGCCAGTTTGCAGAAGTGGAGCTGCTTTGTATTTCTGAATGTAGATTAGTTCAGACGGTTTTTCTTAAATAGCATCGTCCCTCATGGAAGGTAGCAGGAAAGCTGTTGAAAGTGGCAGACCCTCCCCTCCCCCACTTAGCCGCTGTTGTGCTGCCGCTGGTCAGGAGTTGTGGGCGTCTCACCTGGCTTTTGAGATTTTCTTGCGTTTCCATCCTCAACATTTCTCGCCCACGGCGGCGGAGGTTGGGAATTATCCCAGAAGCGGCCATCAGACACTATATATTTGGAAGGTTGGCACAAAATACTGGTAATGGTATCTCCTCGGTCTGTTATGAATGCTTACCAGCGAATTTCTGTATCTTATGTTTCATTGCCCGCAGTCCCTGATCTAGAACAATCTTCATTCTTCCTGTATACTTCTGTTACTTTCTGTCTTCTGCTTCATCTATTTTAGCTTCTTCCTCTCCAAGTAAATCCCTTCCTTTCCTTCTCCATCTCCCGACCCCTGAATTTAACAGGACCCCAGTCTGTGGAGTCACTCTCCTGACTTCTTCCCTGTGACCTTTATCTTGTTCATTACTGCCAGTCTCATTATTGCTTAAGTGCTGTTTCTTCTATTTATACCCTGAGCAACAGTTTTTTTTTCCCTCCCTTAAGTCCTTATATTATGGTTAGTAGACTGGCTCTCTTCAATTTGTAAAGAGATTTACTTCCTGAAAGATGATGTTTTCGTTATTTATTTATTTTTTTTTAATTAAAAAAAATTTTTTAATGTTTATTTTTGAGAGAGAGAGAAAGAGAGAGAGCGTGTGAATGGGAGAGGGGCAGAGAGAGAGGGAGACAGCAGGCTCCAGGCTCTGAGCTGTCAGCACAGAGCCTGACGTGGGGCTCGAACCCATGAACCGTGAGGTCATGACCTGAGACGAAGTCAGAGGCTCAACTGACTGAGCCACCCAGGTGGCTTTTATTAAAAGGATGATACTTTTATTAAAGGATGTGTAACATGAGTAATTCGGGGGATTGCACGTTTGCCTGCTTCTTCATTAACAAGCTGATCATCTTACCTAGTTCAATTCAGAGTTCCTAATGTAACTTATGACCACGATTTTATCTGTGTAATACATTGTGAAAAATTCTGCTATAGTGAACCTTCATAGTTCATTTTAACGTTTGTAATGCCATTATGTGATATTAAGGGTCATGTTGAACAATTTCTAAATTCCCAATTGGAAAGAACTTTTTATCAGTTTAATACATTACTTTTGAAGGTTTTTTTTTTCAATGTAAACAAAAACTATACCTCTTTTGGTTTATACCTACCAAGCATAAATAATTGAATAAAGTGCTATGTTTGTGATAATTTGAATAACAAGCAGTTTTGAAGATTGTCCTCTAGAAAACGAATCTTTGTTGTAGGTGCATTTTATTTTATTTTATTTATTTATTTTTTTTTTTAATTTTTTTTTTCAACATTTATTATTTTTGGGACAGAGAGAGACAGAGCATGAATGGGGGAGGGGCAGAGAGAGAGGGAGACACAGAATCGGAAACAGGCTCTCTAGGCTCTGAGCCATCAGCCCAGAGCCTGACGCGGGGCTCGAACTCACGGAGCGCGAGATCGTGACCTGGCTGAAGTCGGACGCTTAACCGACTGCGCCACCCAGGCGCCCCTATTTTATTCTATTTTTTTGGTGCTCAGCGGAATGCTTGAAACTCTTTAGGCACTCAGCATGCTGAGTGGATATAGAAAAAAAATTGTGGATGAACGGCACATTGCTATGCTTCTGCATTTTTTTGGTTTTTTTCATGGTTTAAGACCAGTAGTAAAGATGAAGATAAATAGCCTAATTGTTCAACATTTGTCAATGGGTAGCTGAAACACGCGTCTAGTCTCTGTAGAACACGTCAGCATGTTTTCTTTCTTTCAGCTGTGCACATCGAGAAGATAATGTTGAAAGGAGTCCAGAGAAAAAGGGCTGACAAATATTGGGAGTACACCTTCAAAGTAAGCCCCTCTCGCCCCCAACAGATGTCCCATGTACTGTTAAATGACCTTGTGGGGAAAAATGAAAAATTGATCTTTGGAAAAACTTACAGTGGGTTTGCTAATTTAAGAAGAAGCTGTACGTATACGTAAGTTTGTCCTTACTCAGGGAATGTACTGTTTTCAGTATGTACTGCATGGTTTGCTGAGTTTTTAATTGTGTCACATTGAAATTACTCTGATGATTTTATTCAAAATAAATAAGAGCCTTCAATTTAAGGTGGAAGTTGTGTCTTTAAAAGTAAAAGTAAGCATTTTCACTAGTATTTTTTAAATCAAGATCACGGGCATTGTCTTTTCCTGGAATGGTTTTTCCCTGATATTTTTCTCTTCCTCTTCTTTCTCCATGAAGGTTTTATTCCCTGGCCTTTGTTGCCTTGTCCTCTCATCTCTAATTGCTTTCCTGTCATGCTGTCCTTCAGACAGCTGTCTAATTAACCATAGAGTCCGGCTCTGTTACTCCCCATGTCTCCCTTTTGCCTGTTGACTGTAATGTGGATTCCTTGTCCACGTCTTCCTTATTCCTCCCTGCTTGGGCTTCACTGTCTGGCCCTTTCTCCTGAGGTTGGACTGAACGCCTTGAAGCCAAATGGACCGACGCCACGTTTCTGTGCTCCCTCACTTCAGTTCCTCCCCAAAGGTATTGCTTGCCACACTTTAGCTGTACCTTTGTCACCAAGTCATTTCTGATCCTCCAGCAGAATGTGTTTCCATTCATTCAAGGCATGCCACCATCATAAATTTTCCAGACTCTTCTATTTGGGTTACATGTTTTTCCTCTCTAGTTGGTTAGTATCTAATGGAGAGCAGGAATCTTCATCCTCCGTCATCCCGCCATATCTGACTTGCTTAGTATGTTTGGTGAATGAATTTCAGAACTCTGGCTTCTGCTTTGTGGGAGACGTATCCTCAGTTTACAAATTTTAAATCCTTATTTCCGAATGTTTTACTTAACCTTTTTGTAACGCATGGCATAAGCCGCCGTGCTCTCTTCATTCAGTTACACTAGCTCTCCTTTTGTTGCTGGAGCTCTTAGCTTGTTCCTTCCTGAAAGCCTTTTTCATCCCCAGCTTAGCTCTGGAACAGTCTTCCCCAGACCATGGCACAGCTCATGTCCCTTCAAGTCCTAGCCTGGCTTAAACGCTCCCTCCCGTGAGGTCTTGCTTGGCACCCTTCTGACGTGCTGTCCTGCTCCTGTGCCACGCCGTGTTCATTGTCTCTGGAGCCCTGCTCACTGATGGGAATTCTTAAATATTCATTTGTTGTAATGGGTCTCCACGAATTAGACCCTGACCTCAGCCAGCAGAGACTTTGGCCATCTTGTCCCCTCCTGTGTCCCTTTCACTGAGAACAGTGTCTCACATAAGTAGCTGCTCAACGAACGTTGAGTAATTAAAAAACATCTAAAAGATGTGCCAGTTAATAAGGATATTTGCTTTAAGGGTTGGTAGATACAATTTTGCATCTGTTCTTAAATATCTGATTAATAATGGTATGATTACTTGGTGAGCCTTAGGCATTTGCACAGTTTGAGTGTCTACTTGGCTCAGATAATTGTAATGTAGACGTTATCAGTGGACCGTCATCAAGTCCATGAAATTCAAAGTGTCTGAGAGGTAAAATGGCATAATAGATTCCAGTCTGGCTCTTCTGCTCACTTAGGGTCACATCTAAGTACATTAACCATTTTGAATTTTAGTTCCTCCATCTGAAAATGGAGGTAGTCAGACCTGCCCTCCACACTTTAATAGGATTTTAAAGAATTGAGGTAAAGATGAAATCTCTTCATAAGCCATAAATCCCCATAAAAATAATACTATAGTACTTACCACAGAGGAGCAGTAAACTCTAGTTATTTCTCTGAAAAATTTATATGTAATAAGTTCCAGGAGGTACAATTTTTACCTTTCTTGGTATATAGTTTTATACCGTCAAGTATCATCTTAGAGTCCTTCAACTTTCCCTTTTGAAAAATTACTAAAATACAGTCACATTTTTAAAGGCAACTTTTTAAAAGAACCATGCGATTTGAAAGGAATTATTAAAGTTTTTTGAGTAGAGTATGTCAATGTACAGTTAACTTTAACAATTTTGAAGAAATTCTGACAATGCCAGATTAACTTTATATTTCTAATTGTTAATCTTAAGATTTAAGTAAGGCCCTTTGTTTTACACATGGCTTTTTTTCATCTGGTTCCCGCCTAAGAAATAACCATATAATATGTGTGTTTTTTTTAAATCAGGTAAATTGGTCTGATCTTTCAGTCACAACAGTAACAAAAACCCACCAAGAACTACAAGAATTTCTACTGAAGGTAAAATTATAGATTTTGTTGTTAAAATGGTTTTTACATAATATGTAGAACCAAAAACCTCAATATCAAAACAGACACCAAGAAGATTTAACCACGTTATATAAAGGTTGACTTAGAACTCTCCACTGTCTGTACAAAATGTCCTGTTATTCTAAACGTAAATTTTCTTACATTACCGATACAAGGAAACGAAGGATTTTCCACGTTAAAAAAAAAAAAAAAGGAACCTGATTCCTGGTTCCTTGCCGAGATAACTATTAATGGTGGCAACTTGCAAGGGTACTTCTTGTGGAAGAGTGCGTCTGCAAAATGAGTTAGGATTTGTTGTGGTTCTTAGAGGTGACAGCTCTTCGGCTCCATCTGTGGATTTCCTTAAACACGTGTCCATCGATTCCTTCTTTGAGTTCCGGCTTCCCCTTGTGATAGAGACACAGAGTATTGAGAATAAGGGATCGTGGAAACATACAGATTTGCAGAAGTAAAAGGTTTCTTAAGTCATTTTGTTCAAATTCCTGCCTGTTCCTTTGGCGCTAATTTCATTTTATTGAAGTGTGTATGGATAGAGCTCAGTTTTAAAAGGAGGAAACAGGTTTAAATGGTTAACCAGTACCTTCGCTATTTTACAATAAGCAAATATATTTTAAAGTTTCTTGTTAATAAGGAGATAAAACAAAGTCCAGAAACAGGAAACTTTCCCAACTCAGTTACTGACTTTTGGGTCAAGGTGTGATGTGGTTATTGAACTTACAACATCTGAAATTTTCAGGACGGTGCTGGTTTTTAAATTGTGGGTCTCCATTCTTAAAGCTGAAAGAGGCTCTTCGTCCCCAGCTTGCGGAACTTGGGGCAGCGTGGTAGTGCTGGCTCTAAGGAGGACATTGTTGGATGGACTGTCAGTGTTTGTTCCGCTGGAAATACCCAGGGACAGCTTGAATATTTTCCTGCAGCTTACTCTGAACCGGGCCCTCTTGGTTCAGGGACGAGAATGCCTTCTGTTACTTCAGGATAGTGACCTAACTGCGTGTAAAGATGGGAGGGCCGTGCATTTCCACTTGTCGAAGGTCATAAGCTTGTGAGCCGTCAGCTGTAGACAGTGTGGTGAGGAAGGAGAGCGAGCCGTGGGAGGACCGGGTGTGTGTGCACTGTCTTCCAGAGAAAGGAGACGATAGCTCCCCGCTGGCGGTCTGCCTGTTGAAGGCATCTGGGAGGGCCACCCTGGACCACGGCTGCACGTGCACTTACAACATCTCTTCTGTTTATGTCCGACTCTTCCATCTCAACAGAGTAAATCTGAGCAGGTGTCATTTGGGTCAGAGAGCAATGTGCTTTGTTTCTTTTTCTTGTGTTGCCCTTCCCGTGACAGAATTCTAATGCTCGATGGTAAGTTGCAGGGATATAGAGGCTAAGGCTGAAATACCTTGCGGTGCCACCCGTCGAGGCCGGTTACCTAACGTGTTAGGGCGGAGGTGCTACCAGCCTATCCCGAGTGGTGCTGAGAGACTTAATGAGAGAGCACATGACCGGCTGCCAGCCTGGGGCCTGGCACCCGGCAGAGTCTCTCCTCTTGGGTTTCCCTAAGCTTTGGCTGGTTCTTTGCCTTGACAGATTTCATTTTTTCAGTCCTGCAATTTTTTTGAAAGCTCAAGTGCTCTAAAAAAAGACAGCCCCCAATAACTGATTCAGCCTTCAGAATCATGGTTATGATCCTCCCAGTTAGCCAACATTTGAACATAGAATTTTTCTAAAGTAGGACAGATGCCATATCAAGTTACGTTAAAAGATTGGCAACATTGTATGCTTCGAGGCTAATTGCCTATTATAAAATATCCCCTCAAGTCAACCACATATCTTTTCACCTTTTTACCTTCCTTTTAAAATCATCTACAAAAGTTAAGAGCAAAACCTGTCCTTTTGATAGCCTGTACATACTAACAACCTTTAACTTTTGTAGATGCTGTTTAACTGCACTTACTGTTTGCTATAATGTGGAAGAGTGAGTTTGAGGTCAGTGCTTTCCAGTCCTTTTTTTCTCCGTGTATATGGCAGCCTCTGTCCTCGCATCCAAGCCCCCTTCCCCTGCTGTTGCTGCTTAGAAACTGCATCTGACACCTGTCTGTTTCTCATTGCGAGAATGGCAGCTCCGTGGAGGCAGGGTTTTTGTTGCATCTTTCACTGCTGTATCCACAGTGCCTAAAACAGTACCTGGGACAGGGTTCGATTTGAATATTTGTTGATTGAATGAATGAGTGTTGAACGAGAAGAGTTACAAAAAGTAAATTGTAATGGGGTTTTGTAGATGGTTCTCCATTAGGCCTCAGTGTTTTTAAAGAGAAGCTTGTAATAGTGAGGAGAAAGATCTTTCAGTAGTCTGAGCTGGTTCAAGGCTGAGCTGGGGCCCAGCTCTGGGAGTCTGGGTACTGGAAGGAAGACCGAGAGGTGAGGAAATTCAGAAGGGACTAGAATAGAAGAGACATGATTTAAAGCTGTATTTTTAGCAAATGTGCCTTCCTCTAGGACTGGAAATAGTCCTTGGAAATTGAAGATAAAAACCACTTGAAAATAAAGCATTTTGCAAATACTGATGACTGCATATCCGCACTCTGCCCAATCACATGAACAGTCATTGACTAGGTGAAAATTTATATACTCTTGCCTTCCTGCACTTAGAAGAACCATCAGTGATTCGATAGTGGAAACATAGTTCCCCACTGAAGCAGGTTTTCTTTGGCTGTGTACAGAAATTCAGGAGATATGTTTAAAATGGGCAATATGAAATATGCCTAGTGTCCTTAATCTGTATTAAAATAGTATTTAAGCGTAAATGTTGAAATAGCCATTTTTGGGGAAATGTGTAGATGCAGAACTTGTTTCTTCCTGTTAGTGATCAGAGGACATGCCCTCCACAGTGGTGCGTGGCCAGCAGGGCCCTCAGCCTTACCGGGTTATAAAAGAACCAGGAAGAGCTTCATTCTGACAAAACATCTTGATGCCATAGTCTCACTGCCTAAAATTAGTAATACTTTATGCTGTTGTTGTTAAATTTTCCATTTCGGAATCGTTGACTCAAAACGCTTGTTTGTCAAAAGAATACTTGCTTTGGGTTCTCCAGTTCAACACGTAAACTGACAGTTTGTGTAGATTGTTCTGTTCCTGCAGCGCTTTCGATACTGCGTGAATGGCTCTACTCTTAATGTTAGTGAAAGTACCGGTAATCCAGGAGTTCATTGTGTAAAGACCATCAGAAGTCAAGTTTCAAACATCAGAAAGCTAATTTTATCAATCAATTTATTAGGAATTTTAAGAAGCTAGTTAATAAACAGAATGACTTAAATTTTGTTTTTTAAATAAAAACTTTCTTGGCCCAGCGATTATTTTGTGTGTGTGTGTGTGTGTGTGTGTGTGTGTGTGTGTGTGTGTGTGTGTCTGTGGTTTCTGGTCCATTGCTGTGAGGGCACCTTCATCATGTTGAGGGAAAGGTTCCTAACCCTTCAATTAGTGCTTTTTATGTAAGCAGGATAGAGAATTTTCACCCCATGTTTCTTTTTATTTGGTGCATAGCACTGGTGGTCTGACATTGCCTGGGATTCAGATGTGAAACAGGAGGTACTAAGGTGATCACTATAAATGCAGGGATAACACTTCACAGAGTACTATTTGAGGATTAAAATAATTGTAGCTACGCTATGCAGAATGTTCCGTTTAACTAAAGAACCTTGGCGTGGGTGTCATTTTCATGTGGCATGTGGAACTTAGAATGTGAGGGATATGCAGGCGTGTCCCAGAAGCACACTGAATCCTGCCGGGGTTATTCTGCACCTTTGCAGAGCCCCGATGTGTGCCCAGAAGGCAGAAGACTTTCCTAGTAGAAAGATCTATGCTGCTTCAGTATGGGGCCTATGTCTTGAAGATGTAGAGAGGATTACATCTTCAGAGGATTACTGAGCAAGAGACATTTGTCTCCCTTTATGCCTCTGATTTGTAACATACTTAGCAGTAAGTGAGAAACTTAACATTGGCCTTGCGGTTTTTCTTTTCTAGCTCCCAAAGGAAGTGTCTTCCGAGACTTTTGACAAGACCATCTTAAGAGCCCTGAATCAGGGTTCGTTGAAAAGGGAAGAACGGCGACATCCTGACCTAGAGCCCATCCTAAGGTAACAGTTTGCCTGATGCTGTCACCACAGCATCACAGACAGGTTCGTTGGCAGTGGATGACTTAGAACGGAGTTTGAGGGAGATGACAAGAGATTTTTTCTGTGGAGTACTTTTTAAAATGGACTTTTTATCTACATGTTATTTTAGGTCTAGGCTCACAGCAGGAAACATCAAACTAATTATTTTTATCGTTGGACTTTTTTGGCTCTCTGATATCATGAATAATTGCTTCTAAAATCTGCAGACATTCAGTGAACCTCCTATTTTCTCCATAAAATATTTATTGAAAGGGTTCCTTGTCCAAGAACTCAACTTGGGAAATGTTTTTTGTTCTAAGTTGTCAAGTAAGACGGAAGATCAGGCTAACAGGTTGGAAGGTGAAGGGAGATGAACACTTCCTCGCACGCCTGCTCTTCTGTCCGGTGGCGAGCTTGCAGCGGTGATGGCTCGGCCCGGTGATGGTGTGTCCACGCTGGCTGAGGCCCGGGGGTGGGTCGGCCCCCGGAGCACCCTGCGTGCCCGGGCCGTGACGAAGAGGCGAACACACCGGCGAGCTCAGCAACGGTGGCACAAGGTCCTGTGTGGGCAGGACGGGTGTGGATGTGGGTAAATGTACTTGTTTCGTGATGGGAAGTTGAAGGATCTCTTGCCTGATGGCTTGTATTTTTTTTCCTAAAGTAAGAGTTTGCTTAAGAGTGGATATAAGGGGGGGGGGGGCGGGGATCAAGTGTTTGAGAGCAAAAGGGACTTAAACAGTAGTTGCGGGGGAGGGTGATGAACAACCCGATAAAGGAAACCCCGTAAGCTGGCCAGGTTTGGAGCCCATTGAGTATCAGTAAACGATAGTGGTATCAGTCTCTCGTGCTGTGTGGATTTTGAAAACATCTTGCGAGCATTTCAGGTTCAAGTGTTAGGATAGCAGGTCGTTGGATAAGGACGTTCTTGGATGTGATGAAGGGACAGGTGGGGCAAGGGAATTTAGGGAAGAGTGTGAGGTTTTTGGACACATTCACAGAGCGAAGATGGAGTCTGACCGTAGAGTGAACTGCAGCTGGAGAAGAGGTGTCAGGGAGTAAGCAAGTAAGTAGGCAGACAGAATCAAGTTGAAATGAGCCCGAAATGTGTGGGTTAGGGCGTTCTGAGGTGAGAGAGTTCCCGGTGACTGTTAGAGGTTTGGGGTGTGGTCTCCGTAGTAGGTGGTAATTGTTTTGCTCACCCCTCTCTGAGGGCTTCCCTTTAGGGGAGAGAAATTAAGGAGGAATGGCCGAGGAAACAAATGCTGTTTTATTGGAAACTTCCAGTTATTAGTAAGTAAAATAAGGAAAAGCAACGTTGGAACATCTGTGGCTTTGAGTCAGGGCTTGAGTGGGACTTCCTTTCTGCCCTCTGAGCCGAGTCTGAGACGGCCCAGTGAAGTAGCCTTGCTGAGGCAGAGGTGAGCAGAGATGGGTGTCGTTTAGTATAGTGGCCCTCTGCCTCTGACAGGGGAGGGGGGCACCCGGTGAGCCTTTTCAGGTTGGGTGGGGCTGGGAAGAAGGGGTGAGTGTTTACTCCTCGATGGAGAGAAGCCGAAATCTGGGAAGGAGGTGTATCCATTTGTTCATCGTGTGACAAGGTCCAGGATGTGCGTGTGGAAGTAAATGACTGGAATAAGAGAGGAGATGGAAGACAGAGGTCACTGGTGGAAAGGCAGCCAAGCAAAGAGCTCGAAGGGTTTGCCGCTCACCCACGTGGAGTTTGAAGTCCCCCAGGGCTATGGAACGCTGGGGGTGGAGGAGACAGGCGGGGGCCAAGCTGAGTACGAATGTGGGAACACGACCAGAAGGTAGGTGTGTGACCACCTTGGGAGGTGGAGTGGCTGAAAGGCGGCTTTGAGGGGGTGCCCCCACCCTTGCAGCCCTTGTGAGTGGGGAATGGGCACCCCACCCGAACGGGCCGTGAGGACAGCCAGACCCCAGGGGCTAGTGGGATTTTGGTCTGAATAAGGAGGTGCAGATCCGTTCCTTGAAGAGCCCGGATACGTGGGG